TACCCTACCACTACACCGAAAAGCAACCAAAATCAAAATAAATCCAACCTAATCCCTAAACTTTTAGGGATAAACTCACCTACCCCAAATCATTCAATCACCATAAATCAAGGAAGCATTCGTTGATTTAGGGAAAAAAATGGAAACCCATTCGAAAAGAAGGGGAAAAAGGAAAAAAGAGAGAGAGATTCGAAAAGATAAACCCAAAAAGAAAATCGAAATAAAAGAAAAGAAATAAAGGAAAATGCAAGAAAAATTTATCTTTTTCTTTAGATCTACTTCGATCTAGCCACTGTCTTGAAAATCCGACTCTGGATTCGGGCTGAGGAGGAAGAAACGAATCGGGTAGTGACTTCCTCTCTCTCCTCTGCCGCAGACGGTCGACGCCTATCAGTGGTGGCCTGCGCGGTGGTAGCTCATCGTGTTCTGGAAATCTTTGGAACTCCGGTGGGAGCTCTTAAGATTTCTCTTAATTTTCTCTCTTTCAAAGAACCAAGGAAAGGAAACAAATGAAGCAGGGTCGGTTTTAGCTGGGATCTCACCCTTATATGTGCGACACCAAACGTCGCCGTTTAAGGGGTACCCAGGGAGCATTTTCACTCATGGTTTATTTTCAAATCAGGTCCTCTGTAGTTGTAATTTTATCAGTTTGGTCATTAATGGAACTTTTAATTTCTTTTGTTTCGGTCTCCTATGTTGTTTTATGTCGCAAATTTGTCCCTATTCAACTTTAAATAGTTTTATGGTTTTATTTAAGTAGGGGTCATTACACTTTAATTTATTTATACTTAAGAAATATATGTTTTTATTAGTCTATTTTAGTCATTGATTCTGTATGTTATGTATTTTGGCTGATGTTCGAATTTGGTCTTCAAATTTGTGCATCTTTCGTTTTGGTCACTGATTTGGTCATGAATGTATAGGTTTAATTATTGTTTGATCCTCCATGTTTCTAGTTTACTTTATTTCAGTCCCTAATATTATTTATGGGTTATTTACATTTCTAGTGCCTGTATTATTTAACATTTGTGATTTGGTCTCTGATTTATTTTGTAATTACTATTTTGCTCTTTTAGTTTCTGTTTTATCTATTTTAGTCCTTTAAATGTTTGTATTCGTTATTTTAGTCCTATAACCTTCTGTTTTTGCTATTTAGACCCTTTAACTTTCTGTTTTGGTATTTAGTCCTTTAGGCTTCTATTTTTGCCATTTAGTTCTTTAAATTCCTGTTTGTACTATTTTGGTCCTTTCAGTTTCCGTTTTTGCTATTTTGGTTCTTGTAATTACCAAATACTATTTTTTGTTCGATTTGTAATATTTAGATGTATTCATTTTATTCCCTTATTTATGTGCACATTGGTATTTTTTATATATGAAAAAAATGATAAATTTTCATTGTGAGGGATATAAACGAAGACATCTCCCAAATACAAGGGAAAGTGCCTTTTCGAGGATTTGTCTCATAAAAGTTTTTTTTATATTCAATAATTTTATTTGTTCCACGATTATTTATGTCGAATATTTTTCACTGTTTTCACTTTTATTTTGTTTTATTTTACCTTTGCAAGAATTAAGAAATAATATCTATTGTGAGAGGAATCTATGGGAAAATCTCCTAACTGCAAAGGAAATGTTTTCCTGAAGATTGTTCATACAAAAGGCTATTAATCATATGAAATTTGACACTTTTTAAATAAAATCAAATGAATAAAAGGATCATAATTTAAATGTATTTTCGAGTTTGCAATTCCTAATATTTGAACAGTGTATAATCGTTTAGGTACCAAAATTTGGGTTTTGTGGGGTATTAATCCTTCCCCACTCGTAACCGACTCCCGAATCTATTTAGTCGAATCTTTGGTGACGCAAAACAGCTTTTTGTCTTAAAGACGATTTTTCTTAAAATTGTTTTTTAAAAGATGTTTTTAGGTATTCAACCTACCTAATCCAAAGGTTGATGGCGACTCTATCCAATTTAATTCAAAATCACCAATTTTACCAAAATTAAAATCATAAACGTTTTTAAACAATAAATAATTGTTTCACCTAAAAAATGGTTATGACAACTCCAATGCCCTACTTTAGGTCTTGCACATAATACTGAAGATAGAAAACAAGTAAACATTACAGAAGATATAAAACAAGTAAGCATTATTAACATGTTGGCAACAGAAAAGACGATATATTGTTGTAAAAGTGGATAAATGGAAAGGGTAGGAAGCACCAACCTCCCCAGCCAGCCAAATGCGTGGGATGTGAGCAATCTTATGCCAATCAGCACCAACTGTAATTGAAGGATTACAGATATGCCAATTCCACATAAACGGCATGCATGTTGGGTAATAAGCATACAAGCTATTTATAAAGTTTTATGATTAACGTAGTTCTACATCAAAGAATCAATGGCAAACTCCTTTGTGATGGTAGCCATAACTAGACTGAGCTTTTGCATGACAGTTGGGTCCGTTTAGCTACTGGATGCTTGCATTTGTGATGATTGGTTATTTGGTTGGGATTAGAGCATATTGTTATAATTTTTTTGTATTCCTAGGCTTAGCCCCATTGATGGTAATCCATATATATATATATATTAAATTTTTTATTGAAGTGACCTGACCTTAAATTTTATAATTCATCCTCTATATTTTAAGGCTACTTCTACTTTTTATTCTTCAATAGCCTATTCTTTTGCAGCTTGTAAGGGGATATAATTCCTCTTGACCTTGGGAATTGGAAGTGGGTTTATCTAGCTGGAGAAGCGGCAAAACCTTGCTTATTGAATCCATGTTAACACTTCGAAATAAAATCAATTTTTTCTTGTTGATTGATTTCTTTTTTGCTTTGAAAAGATAAATCTATTTATTACCACAAGTTTGGTGAGCATTTTTAAGTTTAACTAAATATTTCATGTGTTTGAATTTGTGGAAACTTTTTTTTATCTCTGGAGTTTCACTTCACCTTTTGTCCATGCACATTAGATTTTCAGTAGATGCGATAGATGATGTGGGTGTGCAAGCCACCATATACCAAAAGACCATCCAAGTATAATGAACCAAATTTATCTAGTATGAATATAAGCCACCATATGCCAACAGACTATGTATATTCTGTAATTATTAGAGATAATTTTTTCATCAGTTATTTCTAGTTTCTAATACCTGGCATTAGTAATGCTTTCATCCTGACCTCATTACAAATATTTTTATTAGAGGATGGAGCCAACTCTTTCGGGATGGTTAACTTTAGCATGACCCAAGCTGTTAACGGATGTTATATGCATATGCAAACATGATTTGATTTTAAGATGTTTGGTAAAATAGCTGTTGCATTACGCTGAATGCTTTTTGTATTTTTCCTGTCTGGTATATGAAGTACCACCACTGGATGTACCAGAGCTGTTAACAGTTTTGTTCAGGCAGTCTGGACCTTTTCTGGATCAACTTGGCATCAGAAGAAGTAAGTAGTTGTATCTCTCTTATTCTTCTGTTTGGTATGTACTAGGAATCTAGGATGAAGAGCTTATCGTTCATTGAGTTTAAATTTTCCACCACCAATCACCTTTCGGTTTTATCTATTTATTGTGAACGGGACTATATTTACTTGAAGGGTTCTGTTCTCTTCTTTTTGCTTTCTGTTATGATTTCCTTTGTAGGCCATTGTAGTTTGTATTTCAGTTCATGTCCTTTCTATTAGTAATTTTTAAGAAAGCTTCATCTGACCAATTTAACCAGGAGCTTTTCTTCTGGATTAAATTGGGAAAGCATCTTTAATCTAATTTCTGTGGAACAGTCATGAAATTTCGATGCTTGAGATAATCCAAAACGTTGCTTTATCTTCTGGGAGTAGTTAAGCTGAATAATTAAGTCTCCTGTTCACCTTTCTATGACAGTTCATTCTAGGAGCAAGTTGTTTTTACTGTTTTCTTAAATCCGATTTCAGATATATGTGACAAGATAGTTGAAAGCTTGTGTAGCAAGCGGAAAAACCAACTTGTTTTGCGCTCCCTCACTGCAGGAGAACCCCCTTCTGTCGACCCTGATAAGATTAATGATGAACTGAATTTAAAGATAGCCAGTGTTATTCAAAGTACAGGGCATTGCAGCGAGGGTGTTGGCTCCTGGACAGACTTAATGAAGCCTGATGTTACAGATAGGAAAAGGCATGTTGCCATTGTTACAACTGCCAGCCTTCCATGGATGACAGGAACTGCAGTAAACCCACTTTTTCGGGCAGCATACTTGGCAAAATGGGCAAAACAAAAAGTCACATTCTTGGTTCCCTGGCTTTGCTGTTTATCCCAACAATCTCACTTTCGGTTCACCAGAAGAGCATGAGAATTATATACGTTACTGGCTTGAAGAAAGGGTTGATTTCAAGGCTGATTTTAGAATCTCCTTTCCTGGAAAGGTAACCTTTGATGTACTACATTATGTTCCACTTTATCACTCATTACACATATTTTATCAATGACAATCTTTTTTCAAATTGTTTCTTAGTTTTCGAGAGAAAGGCGAAGCATAATACCTGCCGGAGATACTTCTCAGTTTATCCCATCAAAAGATGCTGACATTGCCATTTTGGAAGAACCAGAACACCTGAACTGGTATCATCATGGTAAACGCTGGACTGACAAATTCAACCATGTTGTTGGTATTGTCCACACAAATTACTTGGAATATATTGACTTTCTTGATTTAGTTTGAACCATAAGATCAGGTTCAAGTTCATAATTAGACCCAAAAAAATTAAGTGAATTAAACATCGATACCAAATTCATGTAACTAATTAAATATAAAAGAATTAACAAAAATACCAAATTAAATCCCGAGGTCAAATTCAGATACTATTATATTTATCGAATTTTAATTGATATTTAAGTAAATAAATTCTACTTTATCTATATGGTTGATTTTAATTTTTTTATCTTGTCTCCAATAATCATAAACACGACTCTCTTTCTAAAATAAAAAGATATGAAATATCATACACGATCAATGATAAATTTCTTCCATAAAGTAACATTATGTGTTCACACATTGCAAAACTGTGTCTCTATTCTCCATTCATGTCCATCCCAATGCTAAAGAATAAGAACAAAGCAAATTGCTTGCAATATGAAGAGTGCATAACTATTGGCATCTCTTGCAAACTACACATATGACGGAAGAAAATGGGTAAAAAAAGAAATGAATTAAATGCTAAATAGTCACGAACTCAACCAATCTAAATCACAAATGCTGCCCTAAATATACCAAGAACGAAAAATACTAATTTGTTGGAACAGGGAAATCTTTGAGCTTTAGAAACACAGGTCCTAAAATTTTCTGTCTTCCTCATGGAACAATCGCCGGAATATTTTGCTTGAAAATTTAACTCTACACTTCTATAGGATCAACATCCAGCAGCTTTTATAAAGTTATCGTATGGTGTTGAGGCTGGTAAACTGAATGAGGGGGATGGTTATGCTACTCATTTGCACACGGCATCGGAAGAGTGCCGAGCGGTTGTTTGAATGGATTGGTACTGTCAATTTGCTCAAAGACTGGACTCACCTGCGTTTTAAGTTTGGTTGCGAATGTTAGATTCTTTTTCAAGCCATCTGTGTTCTTAGGGCCTCACAAAGCACGTACTTTTCTTGCGTAGAACATAAGGCATGTTCGCGTTGCATACATGTATGAAAATCAATGCTGACATGGGAAATGGGGTTTACCTGTTTTGTCATGTTATCTGGATGTTGAAAAGATAAGCTAATCAAGCTTCCTTGTCTCCGTCGGGTGCTCATCAAAGAAGACATCTTTGTTGCTTCCCTGTTACGAGTGCCTCGCAATGATGGGCTATTTCCTTGTAAGACAAGTCCGATCCAGATGAGATGGGACTTCTTCCAAACTGATATGTCGTCTCCAGTACCTGCACAGATAAAGAAAATAATTATGCTGTTCTATATCAAGAAAATAATCGATGCCTATCATCAATTCCCCTTATCATTATTCCGAATATATGAGTTATTCTGTTCTAGGTGTTGCTAGTGTATCCGGACAGAGTAAAAACGAATGTCATAGCTAACATACTGATTCTAGGAGTTGATTGACATCCGCAAGTCCTGGAATTTCTCCAGAAAACTCCGAACTATCCTTGGTTTGGCCTTCAAATGGTTCCAAAAAAGCATCATCGTCGTCTTCGTCATCATTGATTAACAAAACCGAAGCTCCCTGCAAAAGAAATCACTTGTGTTCCAAGAATTTTGGTAGATAAAATTCAGAAGGTGATGCGAGGGATATTTACCTCAATAGATTTATTGTCTTCAGCACCAGCTTGATATACTTTATGAGGAGCATCCATAGAAAACTGGCAACCTAGTGGACACACATCGTCGGGCAAGAATTCATTCAGCAGCTGTTCCCGTTTGGTGGACAAATCAGGCTGCCATATAGTCACCAAATATTAGCATAAGGTTATTACAATAGAAAATATTAGTTCTTTGATGATGCATCAGGGTCAAAGATTCTCGAAATTTTGGATAAAAAGCTTTACCTTCCCAAAGTTTTCATGATTTCAGAAGCAAGAGTTTCCCTACTTTGAGAGTCTTTAAAGCCACAGCATCATCTTCTTTAGATCCTTAAACATATGTTGGATAGTCAGGCACAGTGTTAACTGCCTGTAACTTACGATCGTCCAGAAAGCGCAAAAATGGATCATCCTATGGATCATAGAACCATGGCACATCAAAACAAGATATAGTAAACCAGAATAACCAGTCAGATGAAACAATGATATTAGTTACTTCCTTCCATTACACATTACAAATTCTTGAAGCAAAAAAGGATTGATATTTGCAATAGAAAAGATAGAAACTTCAACCTTGTTCCAGAAGGAAAAGCAAGTATGGTTTCATGAATGAGAAGTTTCATACCATTATCTGTAAGTGCAACCATGTCAGAATCGATGATAGGGCGAATATTAAATGCTTTTGATGAGAAAAGGATCAATGAAGTCACCAAGGTGAAAAGAGATCTACGACGTGACGGAAGTACAATTGATTTCTGATTTGATAACAAGATATAGTAAACTCCCATAACTAATACTTGGAGGTAACCTACACAAAGATAACATGTGCTTGCCCGCTTTTTGCACCATTGATCTCTAGTTTGATATGTCTTAAATTTTACATGGTATCAGAGTCAGTACTACCGCAAGTTGTTATCCTCTTGAAAATGATTTTATTATCTGCACATATAAAGTTTATAATACATGTTTGTTCCTACACTTGAGGGGGAGTATCGTAGTGAATTACTTAATTTAAGTATTCTTTTATTATTTAATCCAATTTTTGTTTGTTGAGAGGGGGTCATGAAAGTTAAAGGCAAGTGAAAGCAGACACTGTAAAAATCATTCGATTCCAAAAGACAATTACAACTTTGGGTGCTTACCTCCTTCATCGAGAGAGATGCTTCTCAGTGACAAAGCTAGCTGAAAACTACGAATAAGAGCCTCGTGACTAGAATTCTGCATTACATAAACACAAACATACAAAAATTAAACTCAGAAATTGAATGAATGTCAGTTTGATGCTATGGGTAACCACCAGAAGAAAGTTTTCTTTCCAGTAAGCAGCTTAGACAATCAACTACACAATACATGGATTTAATAAGATCTCCCCATAGGATACAATCAAATAACTTAAAACATTGAAGATCTTAGGTTCATCTATACATATTTCTATAAAACAAAGTTTACAGTCTGTATTTTTTGTTCCTACACGATAAAGAAACCTCTAACTCATGCCAAAAAAGTGCCATGCTGGTAGAGCATCAATTGAGAAATTTACCTTGGCTCGAAAGAAGAGCAACACAAGGCTGTATGTGTGAGCGATTGCTTCATAGTTCTATGATGTATTTTGAGGAGAGATAGACTATGCCCAAATTGATGAAAGCAAGAGACTAATCTGGGTGCTACTAAGCCGTAGGAATTGGCCTCCTGAGGTTTGACAAATAAAAAAACTTCATGAAAAAGATCACAAATTTGACAAGTATCAAACAAATCATGGGGTTTATCGTTTGAAACATTCATTTTACAAGAAGCTTTAGGCATATAGGTAAAGATCAAGTCACTGCTGTCTGAATCAGGTCTTGTACTTCCTTACTATGTTAGTCAAACTCAGATGAGAATGTCTGACACTGGTACGTGTCCGACTCCGACATGTGTATTTTCATTTTTATTCAGAATTTTCCTTTATTTGGAGGATCCTTGGAAGATCATATCCATATTCTTATGTTTGGATTTGTATTAGCCATGAATGAATAGTTGAGAAAATTTAGAGAGGAAATTGTGAAATACTCACAGATTCTGTTTTGAATTGCGCGGAGGATTTTCATCTGTTGCCAAAGATACCTGCGGACTTATTATAGTGTATGCTCTTGTGTAAGATGACGTTAATCTATTCAGAATCCCATTTTGAATGTTTTCTAGTTGCTCCTCACTAGCAACAGTTTCTTTATTCTCTAGACAAGCATTCTCCCTTGAGAAGGATTTCTCTTTCTTTAGCTTCTTGAAAAGGGCAGCTGAAGAAGAAAAGATGGAGACGGTTCTCGAAAGCGTTCTTGGAATACCTGAGCCTTTCTTTGTTCCTCCAGTAACAGAGGATGGTTGAGGGCAAACTGAAGCTGGAACAAGAACAACAGAAAAGATACGGTGGGCTCCGATCCGTATCTCATGGTCAGGGTGGACCATAGCCGGGAGTAATTGATGGAACAAAGCCTCGGGAAGTGCCTATGTGAACGAAGGAACTCCAAATAAAAAGGGTAAACTAAAAAAATGAGGGTATGATTTGGATAGGATGAATCCATAATATGATCATTACCTTGTTTAGATAGGATGGATTTGGAATTGAGGCTATGATCTGAGCTGTGCAATAAATAACACGGATTGTAGTTCTTCCTATAACTGTAATATTTGGGATATTCTCCAACATCACAGCCATAGCATCAAGAATTGGACCTGCATCACCAACCTGTTCACAAGAACAAAAAATATGGGGAAAAAAAACTAAGTAATTAGCTTAGATGATCTAACCCGAGTTTTAATAACACATCTACTCAAGAATGACAAAAGGGTCTCACCGTATGTGATAACTGTACTAGACAATCATCCACTGCTTCTTTGAAGCTCTTGTTCCAATTTATTATTTCAGTTCCCATAGTTGCATCGTCAAGCGAGCAATGTATGCTCCTTCGTAAATGCCTCATAACATCACTAACTGCACTGATTATTGCTACAGAAGCCTCAACTTTTGAATCTCTAGCAAGGGATGTTATAACTTATACGTTGAGGTTGCACGTCAGGTTGTTTGAGGACACTTTTGTGATCAAGATGCTTAACTAGTACGGACAGCAGAAGGTGTGCATTCTGTCCTGCAAACGCGGGGAAACAGATAGTATCACTTTTCTCACCGTCTAAAGGTCATATAATTTTTTAGGAAAAGCAGAAGAACAGAACATTAATCAGAAATAGATAATAGGAGGGGGACAGAAGAAAAAAAGAGCATGAGTACCAGAACTATATGTTAAAATCTGCATTTCCCTTAAGACCGGCAAGGCAAGACCATTTTCAGCGGACCATAACTTTTCCTTATCGAAGTAACGAAACAAAGACTCATGAACGCGTCGTGTTGTTGTAGCTTCCTTTTCTAGTTATCAAATTCTGCCGAAATGTGAGAATGTTCACCCATTAACCAAACCTGCACCAGAAGATAAAAAATTAAACGTGCACTAGAGTAGTTATATATACAATTTGGACAGAGAAAAACGTGAACTGCAAGGAAGAAAAGAATAATTGTGAAAGGGAAAACCGTTGCCTTGGCTCTTATCATCTACAACTAAAATGTTCTTTTGTCTTGAAATCAACCCGTATCTTTCAAAATAATATGACAACAAATTCGGGTTCGGATAAAGAAAGATTGTGGGAGATGGTACGTTTTTATGTTGGATAAAGAAAGATTGTGGGAGATGGTACGTTTTTATGTTGCTCTCAACCTTCAATTTTCTTCAAGTTTATGTATCCCGATGCCCGTATCCGACATATGGCCAGACAACGGTACGGGGTGCCGGATCATCGAACCAAACTCTTGTAAAGGATTATATTCCTCCCCAATGCAATCAGACATGCTTTGTAATTGTTAGATTAAAATCCATAATTTTGGGCACATTGTATATATAATATACAATGTTATCATAAAGTATGACATAAAATTAAGTAACCGATTATTTTACGTGCCATAGGTATTGAAGTGTCATTAAATTAACATAAATTGTATTTATGATTTGATGAAGGACAAAATTATAAATACTTTAAAGACTAACCTAATATTCAGTCTATATAAAAAGATAATGGTCCCCAAGAAATACGGTGTTTTTAGGCCTACACGAACAAGGGTATTTTAATATTTGTTCGTTTAAATTTAACCGAAAAAACAAACGAACACGAACAACTAAACAAATAAAAAATTTTGTTCGTGTTAATTCATTAAGGAATGTAACTTGTTCCTAAACGATCCATTATCTCTCTCTTTTTTATAATAGTCATGGCTCCAATGTTTTAAGAAAAATATTAGAGAAGACTTAGGGAAGGGTCTTTCTTTATAACAACAACAACAACAACAAAACCCAATTCCCATATGTATGGGGTAAGGGGGAGGTAGGGTAGTAGGCTGCCCCCAACGCCGGGTCGAGAATAGCTTCCGTGGAAGACCTCCGGCAGTCAGAAAATTAAAAATATAGATAAAATGCAATGCATGTATAAATAATTACATAAATACATAGCTAAACAGTATTCATATGCAGTCATTAATATCATATGTGCTTCTGTAATGGGGAGTAATCCCTGCAAAATAATCCCTGCGAAAGAATCTCTGCATATAGACAGAAACCTAAGACCCGGCTAAATTTAATAGAGGAAACATGATGAGAATGATACACATGAGACAACGATAGCAAGCCCAGTTCTAATCTTTCATAAATACCAATAACAGAAAAGTATAAAAAGTAAAAGTCATGGAAATTACTACAAATGCATTTAAAAGAAGACAAAGATGATACACCCTATAAATGTGACCCACACTACTCGACTACTCTAGTCTTAAGCCTCCATAATTTCCTATCATAGGTCATGTCTTCGGTAAGGCCTAAATCCATCAAATCAGATCTCAAGCAGTCATCCCACTTCCGCCTTGGTCGTCCTTTCCTTCTGGCACCGTCGACTGCAATCGACTCTACCCTCCTGACCGCATCCGACGGTAGTCGCCTAAGGACGTGCCCAAACCACCGTAGTCTTCCCTCCCTCATTTTTTCGGAAACAGACACCACCCCTAAGGACATCCTAATAGCAGAGTTTGTCGTCATATCCCACAGAGTCCTACCACATGTCCATCGAAGCATTCTCATTTCTGCGGCCTCTATCCTCCTTACGTGATCCTTCTTGGGTGCCCAACATTCTGATCCATACAACAGCGCTGGTCTTATTGTCATTCTATAAAATTTTCCCTTAAGTTTTAGAGGCACCTTCTTGTCACACAAAACTCCAGTAGCGGCCCTCCACTTTAGTCATCCCGCCTTTATACGGTGTGTAACGTCATCATCTACACCCCCATCTTTATGTATCATAGACCCTAAGTACTTGAAACAATCCTTTGAGGGAAGAACGTGTCCTTCTATGCATATTTCTACATCTTCATCATTTTGGTTCCCATTGAAGTTTGAACATAAATACTCTGTCTTTTCAATATTGATTCTTAAACTTTTTTCTTCCAAAGCAGTCTTCCAGGTAGCCAGTCTACTATTCAACTCAGATTTTGTTTCAGCCACTAAGACAATGTCGTCAGCGAAAAGCATACACCAAGGTACACCGTCTGGTGTCGCACAATAGATGTCGTCCATAATCAAGGCGAAGATGTAAGGGCTAAGAGCCGACCCCTGGTGGAGTCCGATTTCCACCGGGAATGCCTCGGTGTCGCCAACTGTAGTCCTGACGTAAGTAGTAGATCTACAGTACATATCACGAATCGCCCGGATATAAGCAGTTGGTATCCGTCTCGTTTCCAAAGTCTTCCAGATCGTATCGCGAGGAACGCTATCATAAGCCTTCTCAAGGTCAATGAACGCCATGTGAAGATCTCTAGACTTTTCCCTATACTTCTCCATAAGCCGTCGAAGTAGATGAATCGCCTCCGTGGTAGACCTGTTTGGCATAAAGCCAAATTGGTTTTCCGAAACCCTAGTGACTTGTCTCAACCTAGCCTCTATCACCCTTTCCCATAGCTTCATGGTATGGCTGAGTAGTTTAATACCTCTGTAGTTACCACAACGTTGGGGATCTCCTTTATTTTTATAGATTGGTATCACCGTAAACTCTCTCCACTCCTCTGGCATCTTGGCAGTCTCTAAAATAATATTAAAGATGTTGGTCAACCACATAACTCCCTCATCTCCTAGGGCTAACCACACAGTGATAGGAATTTGATCAGGACCGACAGCTTTCTCCCTTCCCATCTTTCTAAGAGCCATTTTGACTTCCTCAAACCCAATCCTACTTGTAGGGCAGTCATTGGCCGTAGTATGATGGTCGGCTGACCCAACAACGATATTATCTCTACATGGAGAGGCACCGTCATTAAATAAGCCAAAGAAGTAACTACCTCAAACCCTCTTAATATCATGATCTTTCGTTAAAAGAACACCATTGTTGTCCTTAATATCTCTTTTTTTCCACTGTAATTATTATAATGCAAACATTTTTCGTATAAATATTTTTTTAAATCTCTTTACTTTTCACAAGCGATTAAGTAAACAAGGACAGCTAAGAAGGGTGTTAATTATTCATATTAATACATGACATATTTTAAACTAAAATTGATTGATTAAGTAAACAAGGACAACTAAGAAGGGTGTTAATTATGTCAGTTTTATTGGATCAATCTAAAATTAAAAGAAAATTTATGTCATTTTTACATGATCAATTGAAAAGCAGAGCATGGAGTAGAAGCATGTTGAAAACAAGTAATCCGCAAGACAAGCATTGCAAGCTTCTTAGTCCTGTCCACATCACCTTAGTTACATCATAAGAAATCCTTGTCAGTTTTGCTGCAAAGAGAATGCGATAATAATGGCAAAATGATTAGTGATACTTGTTTTTGGATTATTTTGAACTCGGGTAGTAAAGAATTGGGTGATATTGATTACCTTCCGGAATAAATTTATTTGGTATCAAGTGGAATGGATCAGCTCTTGAAGAAACTCATGCTGACAAAAAGGGACATTCATTATCAGACAACTGCAATTCTGAGATTCTATATACGATATAAAAGCCTAAAGCAATTACGTAATTACTACCTCTTTTTCTGCATATATATTCTTGAAATACTCCAATGCCCTAATATAGGAATTGCACAAAATCCTGAAGATAGAAAACAAGTAAGCATTATTAACATGTTGGCAACAGAAAAGACGATATATTGTTGTAAAAGTGGATAAACGGAAAGGGTAGGAAGCACTCACCCCATTCACCCAAATGCGTGGGATGTGAGCAATCTTATGCCAATCCTCACCAATGTCCTTCCGACATCTTTCCGTCAAATGGGGACTTCGATATATACATAAGAATTTCAAATTTGTGAGCAAAGAAAGCCAGCTCGGAATCTTGGCATTGCCCCTCCATCCAAAGAAAGAGAGACGCTTCAGATTAGGAGGGGGCTGGAGGTCTTCAAGTGACTTCTCTTCATCATCTGTAGTGTAGCCCCAATCTAAAACCAATGATTCCAAATGTTGCTTCTCTTTCAAATTAGCAGCCCTGAACTCCTCTTTTGCATTTTTCACCAATCCCAAATTTGATATCCATAGTATTCCCCTCAAATTGTTAAGCCCACCCAATTCACTTAGATCTGCAGCAGCAGCACGGGAACCACATTTATCCACCACAAACGGTCTTAACGTCTGAAGCGAAGTCAGCTTTCCTATTCCACGTGGCATATGAGTTAAGCTATCACAATTATGACATGAAAGATGGGTAAGATTCACCAATTTTTCAATCTTCTCTGGCAATTCTTTAAGCTCCAGACAACAGTCAAGTTTCAGCACTTGCAAATTTAGTAACTTGCAAATACTCTTTGGAAGGATCTTAAGATCTTCATTCCAAGAGAGATCAAGGTACCTCAGATGTTTCAACTTATGAATGGAGCGATGAACTATATCAAGATTTAAATTATCTAATTCCAACACACGCAAACACCTACAGTTTGAAATTATTAAATTCCAGATCGTCTCAGTCCTATTCCGATTTTTCTGGTTAGGAAAGGGCAACAAAGTTCGTAACTTCCTTCCTTTGAACGAAGGAATTATTGAAAAATCAACCGATGCATGAAGACATATTTCATCGACCTCACTTGTATTGAATTTGAGTCTAAAATTCTACTCTCTTTCCCTGCTACTGATTCAGCAAGATCATGCATTTTACATCTCATTCCCGTTTCTTCATATTCTATGATCTCTTGAAAGAAACTTCTTTCCGCTAAGTCTTTAAAATAATCCAACCCAATCTCTTGGAGAGATTGATTCGGCTCTGATTGCTTTACAAAACCTTGTGCAATCCAAAGTTGAACAAGTGTTTGTACATCAATTTCATGATCTTTTGGGTACAGTCTGCAATAAGCAAAACAATGCTTCAAATGGGCTGGAAGATGATCGTAACTCAGCTTGAGTGTAGGTAAAATTTCACCATCTTTTTGAGATATTCTAGCAAGTTCATTATCTTTGAAAGAACACCACTCTCTTTCAGTTTCTTTAATGGATAACGTACTAGCTATAGTTCTTATGACTAAGGGAACCCCACCGCACCTTTCCAAAATCTGCGTTCCTATTTCCAAAAAGACAGGATTTGTTGAGTCCGCATCTCTTTGCTCAAATGCTATTTGTTTGAACAAAGACCAAGCGTCATCATCAGACAAGCCTTTCAAAACATAGGGTTGACATTTACTAGTAACCTTTGCTACTCTATGAGAGCGAGTAGTTACTATTATTCTGCTTCCTCTAGCCCCACCCATCAGTAACTTCTTTAAGCTGAACCATTGTTCTCCCTCCTCGTTCCAAATATCATCCAAAACAAGCAAGTATTTTTTCCCATCAATTTTATCTCGAAGCTGTTTTTGCAATTGGTCCAGCTCGAGAGTTTGATTGGGTGCTTGATCAGTCGCAGATTTGATAATATTCGCCACTATTGTTTTCACATCAAAAACATCGGAAACACAAACCCACATCCTCAACTCAAAATGATCTTTGACCCTTTCATGATTATAGACAAACTGCGCCAACGCAGTCTTGCCTAAGCCTCCAATCCCCACGATTGGAACCACAATGACATTCTCTTCACTTTGAAACTCTTTTTCTAGCAAGAGTTTTAGAAGAGCTGCTTTATCACCGTCCCTCCCTATTATCTCATCTTTACCCACAAAAGAGTGTGTCTGCTGCCTCCTTTTGGCCATGAAAGGAGTTTCCACAGGAAGGTCACGCTCTACCAACTTTAACTCACTGGTCCGACCTTGAATGGAAGCAAATCTGGCCTTAATGGCCTTGATTTTACCACCCAATTTGCGACCATAAGCAAACTGGTTTGAGCTTGAGAAGAAAACACGTACCTCTTTCGACAGCTTGTTCCCACTCATCAGGTCCTTCCGCATGGCTTCAGTCTGGACATCATCCAGCAAGTCTTCCGCATCAAACAGTGCATCTTTCAGCTCATGAAGCCAAACTTTGACAAGATTGCTGGTCACCGATCGCTCCTCCGCGTCAAGCAGCACAGCTTGGATTCTGGTGACGGTGCGTTTGAGCTCTTCGAGATCATCTTTGAAATCCCACCACAGTCCGATTTGAGAGAGAGCACGGTAGCCCAATTTGGTAATGATCCCCGCCGCAATGTCGAAAGCAATTGCTTCGGCCATTTGGTAGTTGAAACAGAAATGAAGGCAAAAGTGTTAGGTTGTTTGCAAGAGGAGATGAAATGAAATGCAGGTATTGATAATACATTATTATATTATAGATTTTTGGTTGGAGTGCATGACCCACCAGCTAGGGAAGGTGTGGTGTTTCTTTCTCCCACTAGTAAATTGTTACAGCAAAGTAGGCCCTTTGGCCTCGGAAGACGACATAGAAGCTTTCAATGGTGCAAGCCAAGTCGTCCTCGTAGTCTCCATGATTAAAGCAAAGCAGGGCCCTTTGGCCTCAAATGTCAGAAGTTACGCGTTTTTTAAAGGATCATGACCATTCCAATAAATTTCCTATCATTTATCATGAAATGTTGTTTTGTTTTAAAATCAACCCGTATTCTTTCAAAATAATGACATACAAAGATTATGACTCAACCTTAGCACCATGGTGTCAAACAAAGATGCCTCGCTGGTATTTTGATTTTTCTGGTTAGCAAATTGTAATAACGATGATAGTGTATTAATTTATAATTGTCGGAAATAAATTAAATTGATGAAATATGTTAAAATTTAATTAGTTTAGTCAACCAAATTATCTTAATAGTTAAAGAATAATTATTATTCTAGAAGTCTCATATTTGAATACTAGAGATTGTAAAAGTATTTAAATTTTTATTGACAATAGATTGTGAATCTTTAAAGTAAATATTATCTTGTAATTATCTTAAATTAATAAAAATAATTATTTAATTGATTAAAATAATAAGATAGAACTTATAATAATGATCCGATTGATTTAACGGTTCATTTTCACGTGTTAATAATGCAAAAATGAAAGTTAGGCATAGAAGAAACAAAATCTTAAAGAACTTAGGCCAACGCCATCCGACCAGTCTTCATCAGTGCACGAAAACCCAATCACAATCAGCCCACGATATCCACAAACTACGCTGTAGGCTATCACTCTACGATACCGAATCACAACTCGCCACGACATGTTCACACGCGAGATACGCCATCTCATCAAAGAGATCAACTTACGTGGTATCCTACGTGTCACTCTCCCAGTTCCAGAATTATATAGAAACACACACCAGCTTTAACCGTTTAAATTTCTCAGCTCTTTTCTGCAATTTCCCGGAAAGAAGATTTTGTCGTTTGTTAACGGAACCCTAAGCTGAATTTTTCGCGCCATGAATAACGATAGGCAAGCGCCGGCGGTGTCCGTGACGGGAGTGCCGACTCGGACGACGCGGATTTGCAACTGATGAAACATCGTGCGAACTCGTTCAAGAACATCGCGGCGAGTTTCTACAGAGAAATTGAGAACTTAATTAACTCAGCGACCCCACCTTTTTCGGTACCGCCGGTCAGGCAAGCGTCGGAGATCGAATTCATGAAGAAGCTTCATCCTAAGATATCGGAGTTTCGTAAAGTGTATTTGGCGCCGGAGATTAGGAGGAAAGTGATGGAGAAATGGGGTCCGAGGGCGAACTTGGGGATAGACTTGTCAAGGATAAGGAGCACAGTCGCAGCGGAGGTGTATGGGATCAAAGAGGAGGATACGGAAGGAATTATTGATTTTAATAAGGCCAGTGAAGAGAGGAGTATTAGAGATGAAGAATATGACATGTGGAGTATGCGGTTATTGGTGATGAGCTGGTGATGGCTGTTAAGGAAGCAGTTAGAATCTATTAGGCTTAACAAACTTTAGTTGAGAGTCACGCATATTGTGTATATATACATGACAATTGTGTATCCTGTAATCAATTCTTTGTTGCATCAATAAACTACAATGCTTCTTGATTGAGTAATCCAATATGGTATCAATCGCTGGTGTTCCTGGCCTCTATTAACATGCTTCTGTTGCGTAGAGTGTGGTCATGGAATTTCCTCTGCAGAGCTCAAAGACATTCTCCCATAAGAAGGTCAACAAGATGCTCGATGAAATGAACTTCCTGCTTTGGAAACAGTAGGTGTTATTAACAGTTTGTTGTCATCGATTAGAGCGTTTGCTTACTGGTGCAGTTTCAACGCCACCACAAACGGTGGTTGACGACAATGGTGATTTTCGGATTAATAAAGAAAATGAGGAATTTATTGCACAAGATAGTGCAATGGCTTCTTGGCTGCTTTCTACCATAAGTGCTCCGCTTTTACCTCAATTTGTTGGAGCCGAGTCTGCATCGGTAGTTTGGAACACAGTACTGCAGTTCTTTTCTACTCGATCAACGATGACCGTAATGAGCCTCCATTACAAATTACAGTCGCTGAAAAAAGGTGGTGACACTATGAGAGTTTATCTTACGCACGTTAAAGAGGTTTGTGATGCCTTGGAATCGTGTGGGAGCCCAGTACCTTCTGTCGAACGCATTGCCAGCATTCTAAAAGGCCTTCCTTTTGAATATCAGTCCTTTGTGGTTGTTATAACTACAATAAAAGAAACTCTAACCCTTGATAACATATACACTATGTTACTTGATGCTGAAATGCAACTTGCAGGATTTGATGAGCAAAATGAAGTGCTACCCATGAGTGCTCGTGTTGCTCAAGGAGAAGGACACAGTTTCTCCTTTTCTAATGCTCGTACGGATCAATGATTCAATTACTCTACTGGTTCTCGAGCACCCAATGGCAGAGGTAGAGGTAGGCCGTGTTTACAATGCCAATTGTGTGGCAAAATCGAACACCTAGTGGATCATTGTTGGCATAGGTTTGATAAAGAATTTTCCTGTGTCACAATAGATAATCGAGCTTCCTACAAGAATGATTCATATGCCTCCGCTTCTAATGCGTGTGAATGTTGTGGTAAAAGTCGACCAACCTCCTCAAGTCTACCTCAAGCAAACATTGTTGATACTGGTCACAGTTCTGATAGGTGGGTGGTGGACTCTAGGGCAACACACCATGTCACCTCTGAAGCATCGAATATCATGAATTCATCCGAGTTTCATGGCCCAGGTAAACTTGTCGTTGGCAATGGCATGCGTCTTGGTGTTAATATGGTTGGTCAGTCGTCTGTTTCTTCTTCCTCTCGTGTTCTTCTACTCAAAGATTTATTACATGTGCCTCAAATTACTAAAAACTTGCTTTCGGTATCAAAGCTTGCTAGGGACAATGATCTATTTCTAGAGTTTCATGCTAATCGGTGTTGTATTCGTGATGAGAAGACTGGTTGTATTTTAATTCAAGGTGAAAAGAATTGTGGCCTTTACTCCTTTGCAATGAACTCCAAAGATCGTGCTGCTGAGGTGCATACTGCCTCGATGAAAGGTTCCATTGATGAGCTATGGCATAGGCACTACATTGTCATCTACACTTGGTGTCAAGTTTAAGTTTGATATAAATAAGGAATATACTGCTTGCTACATGGGCAAGAGCCACAAAATGTCTTTTGTTGAATCAAAACTGTATTTTCTTCTCCATTTGAGCTTGTGTTCACTAACTTGTGGGGACCCCCCATATTTCCTCTAATGGCTTTCGATACTATGTATCCTTTGTTGATGCATTTACTAGACATACCTGGTTGTACCTCTTGAAAACTAAACATGAGGCTATTCTAGCATTTGACTTGTTTCAAAAACTTGTTAATAGACAGTTCGGTTGCTCAATTAAGTCTATTCAAAGCGATTGGGGGGTGAATTTCGCAGCCTGTCTTCCTTCCTGGCCAAGTGTGGCATTGTTCATAGGATAAGTTGTCCACATACTTCTGAACAAAACGGTGTAGTTGAAAGAAAGCACCGCCATGTGATCGAGCTTGCCCTGGTATTATTGGCTCAAGCTGCTATGCCAATAAAATAATGGTCTTATGCCGTTGTAACTGCTGTCTACTTGATTAACAGGTTACCCACTAAAGTTCTTCAAGGAATGTCACCTTTCGAAAAACTAATGTAAAAGACACCAGATTACAATATTTTGAGAGTCTTTGGCTGCCAATGCTTTCTCCATTTGAGATTATTTCAGAATCACAAGCTTGCGTTTCGTTCTCAAGCATGTGTATTTTTGGGTGTCAGCCCACAACATAAAGGATACCAATGTTTGGCTCTAGATGGTCGTGTATATATCTCTCGTCATGTGGTTTTTAATGAACACGTGTTTCCTTTTTCAGGTACTAACAGCAGTGGGGAGCATGTCTCGAATGTAATCTCTACTCTATCACCTTCTCTGAGCTTAGTTGCTAATCCTAAGCAACCTGTGTTCCAGTCCACATCTGAACCAGCACGTGCTTCAACATCGAATGATGGCAGGAATAATATTGAAACATCAATGCCCTTGGAGTCTTAAAACAATGGTGACTCTTGTACGTATCACCAGCCTGAACCTTTACCAAGGTCGAAAAACAATACTGATAACGCTGAATCTCATACTCCCCAACAGCCTGAACCTTTACCAAGGTCGAAAAACAATATTGATAATGCTGACTCTCATACCCCCAGCAGCCTGAGTCCTTGTCTAGGACTGGAGATGATGCCTCTTATATGGCCCATAATCAGGACAACACCATCCTGCCCGAACTTAATTCAGTTCCTGAAGTTACTACATCTACTTCGAGTGATGTTCCTTTTATCCATAACGAGTTCATCATATGATGACGCGTAGTCGATGAGGTGTCTTTAAACCAAAGGTGTATGCTGCTGAATGCACTGAAGATGTTCCTGGCTCATTTCATGAGGCGTTTCAGGTGGCACATTAGAGGCAGGCAACTCAGGATGAATATGATGCATTGCTAAAAAATGACACCTGGACCATTGTCAGCCTTCCAGAAGGTCGAACCCCAGTTGGATGCAAATGGTTATTTAAAGTGAAACGCAACCCAGATAGTTCTGTATTACGATACAAAGCTCGGTTAGTTGCAAAAGGTTTCTCATAAGTCTCGGGCTATGACTTTAAAGAGACGTTTAACCCTGTTGTTCGGTTTTCAACCTTTAACATAATCCTTGCTATTGTTGTGCTTAATGGCTTGGCACTTAGGCATGTCGACATAAATAATGCCTTTCTCAACGGGGAGCTGCTCGAGGATGTGTACATGTAGCAGCCTCCAGGCTTCGAAAAGATGGATGAACGTGGAATGCCACTTGTGTGTAAACTCCAGAAAACTTTGTATGGGCTTAGACAAGCACCCAGGAACTGATATGAGATAAAAGAGAAGTTACTGCAAATGCAATTTGCTGTCTCTCGAGCTGATCCCTCATTGTTCCATAAGCTCACGCCTCGTGAAGTCATCTACATACTGGTGTATATTGATGTCATAGTCATTACAGGGCAGTCCTTGGATGATGTTGAAAGTGTTGTGTTCTTGCTAAAGGACAGGTTTTCATTAAAAGACTTGGGGGAATTGAGCTACTTCTTGGGAATTGAGGTCAAAAGTTCTAAGGAGGCTGTGATCTTAAACCAAAAGAGGTTTGTGTTGGAACTCTTGGAGAAAACGGGTATGCGAAACACTTCTGGATGCAATACCCCGATGATCATGTCCTCTAAACTCTCGAATGAAGAATGTGCCTTAATTTAAAATGCAATTGAATATCGAAGTATTGTAGGGTCTCTACTTTACGTGTGTCATACTAGGTCAGACATTTTCTTCAGCGTTGGGCAGGTAGCACAGTTCATGAACTCGCCCAGAGAGCCTCACTTTACAGCAGTTAAAAAGAATCCTTCGATACTTGGCTGCCACTTTAGATTATGGTCTTCATTTTTCTGCTTCATCAGCTAGTTTAGATGTGATAGCCTTTGTTGATGTAGATTGGGGTTCCAACATTGATGATCGTCGATCCATATCAGGACATGGAGTATTCCTGGGATCGTGCCTGGTTGCGTGGTCAACGAAGAAACAAAAAATAGTCTCGAGGTCCACTATGGAAGCAGAATACAAGATTGTTGTAGATGTTGCTGCAGACATAACCTGGGTGATTGCATTATTAAAAGATCTTGGTGTTCCACAAAAATGCACACCAATTATCTGGTATGATAACTCCAGTACAGTGGCCTTAAGTGCCAATCATGTATATCATGCTCAATCGAAGCATGTTGAGCTTGACATACACTTTGTACGTGAGAAAGTTGCAGCCGGTCAACTTTGTTTTAACTACGTTCCAGCCATGCACCAAGTAGCTGATGGCTTCACAAAGCCATTATCAAAGGCTGCGTTTTCCGAGCCAAAGTCTGTGTGCAGCAAATCTGAACAACAGGAGGAAAAGAAGCGGGGAGAATATTAGAGATGAAGAATATGACTCGTGGAGTATACGGTTATTGGTGCTGAGCTGGTGATGGCTGTTAAGGAAGCATTTAGAATCTGTTAGGCTTAACAAACTTTAGTTGAGAGTCACGCATACTGTGTATATACATGACAATTGTGTATCCTGTAATCAGTTCTTTGTACATCAATAAACTACAATGCTTCTTGATTGAGTAATCCAATAAGGAGTGAGAGGCTCAACGAGGAAGGTCAATTTGGTGATTGGGAACCAATTCGGGCGTTAAAGACAAGGATAAGGGAATTTGAGAAGAAAATTCTACGGTTGAAATTTTTGCTGGGTTTAAGAATAATGAGTTTATGGAGAAAGTTAAGTCTAGTTTGGTAAGTTCTTTATTTTTTTTGGCGTGGCTTTTTTTAATACATATAATTCATTTGTGAAGTAGTTAGAGGTTAATGATAAGTTTTAGAAGGGAAAAAATTGATGGTTGTAGTTAAGCACACGTGTTCAACTGTATTAGGAAGAAACTATATTACTCTCTTACTGATTAGGCATTGTTCAGAGCCGTAGTATTTACACGAAGTTCAAATGTGGCGATGTTCATGATCTTAAGATGAAGTATATATCTTTTCTTTTGACCAATCAGTTTTGCCTGGGCTAAATCAAATATTTTCTTTAATTTGTATTGGTAGCCTGAAATATACGTTCTTATAATGTATAATTTATTGCTAAACATTCAACTCTAGTTAGATGATGTTTAGTTTTAACATTTTAGCTTGTAAAGCTTCTCTTTGTGTATTCTAGATGTTTATGTCATGATCTTTTATCGTGATTATCACAAATTAAAAATCCTCTTGGTATGCAATTGTTTATAAATTTGTTTATTTAGCAGAAAGCCATTTGCAAGGAGCCTCAGGAGTCAAAGGTTCCCTTCTTACCAATGGACTGTCATTTCCTTTTAGTGATAATTTGCAATTTTTTATGCATTCATGCCATTTATATTTTTCAGCGAAATTTTTCCACATATTGACAAGGATTTGTTGAAGTTTTGCTTTTTTTGTAACGGGCATTTCAATGTGTATACCTTTTTTTCTTTTTTCTTTTTAAGAAATGTGTATACTGTAATTGAAGGATTACAGATATGCCAATTCCACATAAACGGCATGCATGTTAGGTAATAAGCACACAAGCTATTTATAAAGTTTTATGATTAAAGTAGTTCTACGTCAAAGAATCAATGGCATACTCCTTTGTGATGGTAGCCATAACTAGACTGAGCTTTTGCATGACAGTTGGGTCCGTTTAGCTACTGGATGCTTGCATTTGTGATGATTGGTTATTTGGTTGGGATTAGAGCATATTGTTATAATTTTTTTGTATTCCTAGGCTTAGCCCTATTGAAGGTAATCCATGTATATATATTAAATTTTCTATTGAAGTAAGTAGTTGTATCTCTCTTATTCTTCTGTTTGGTATGTACTAGGATGAGGAGTTCATTGAGTTTAAATTTTCCACTACTAATCACCTTTCGGTTTTATCTATTTATTGTGAATGGGACTATATGTACTTGAATGGTTCTGTTCTGTTCTCTTCTTTGTGCTTTCTGTTATGATTTCCTTTGTAGGCCATTGTAGTTTGTATTTCAGTTCATGTCCTTTCTATTAGTAATTTTTAAGAAAGCTTCATCTGACCAATTTAACCAGGAGCTTTTCTTCTGGATTAAATTGGGGCAGCATCTTTAATCTCATTTCTGTGGAACAGTCATGAAATTTCGATGCTTGAAATAATCCAAAACGTTGCTTTCTCTTCTGGGAGTAGTTAAGCTGAATAATTAATAGTCTTCTGTTCACCTTTCTATGACAGTTCATTCTAGGAGCAAGTTGTTTTTACTGTTTTCTTAAATCCGATTTCAGATATGTGTGACAAGATAGTTGAAAGCTTGTGTAGCAAGCGGAGAAACCAACGTGTTCTGCGCTCCCTTACTGCAGGAGAACCCCCTGCTGTCAACCCTGATAAGATTAATGATGAACTGGATTTAAGGATAGCCAGTGTTATTCAAAGTGCAGGGCATTGTAGCGAGGGTGTTGGCTCCTGGACAGGCTTAATGAAGCCTGATGTTACAGATAGGAAAAGGCCTGTTGCCATTGTTACAACTGCCAGCCTTCCATGGATGACAGGAACTGCAGTAAACCCACTTTTTCGGGCAGCATACTTGCAAAATCGGCAAAACAAAATGTCACGCTCTTGGTTCCCTGGCTTTGCAGATCAGATCAAGAACTTGTTTATCCCAACAATCTCACTTTCGGTTCACCAGAAGAGCAGGAGAATTATATACGTAACTGGCATGAAGAAAGGGTTGGTTTCAAGGCTGATTTTAGAATCTCCTTTCCTGGAAAGGTAACCTTTGATGTACTGTTCCACTATATCACTCATTACACAAATTTTATCAATGACAATCTTTTTTCAAATTGTTTCTTAGTTTTCGAGAGAAAGGCGAAGCATAATACCTGCCGGAGATACTTCTCAGTTTATCCCATCAAAAGATGCTGACTTTGCCAGTTTGCAAGAACCAGAACACCTGAACTGGTATCATCATGGTAAACACTGGACTGACAAATTCAACCATGTTGTTGGTATTGTCCACACAAATTACTTGGAATATATTGACTTTCTTGAATTAGTTTGAACCATAAGATCAAGTTCAAGTTCATAATTAGACAACAAAAATTAAGTGAATTAAAACATCGAGACCAAATTCATGTAAATAATTAAATAAAGAAATTAACAAAAATACCAAATTAAATCCTGAGGTCAAATTCAGATACTATTATATTTATCGAATTTTAATTGATATTTAAGTTAATAAATTCAAATAAATTCTACTTTTTTTATTTTGCCTAAATAAATCAAAGTATTTTAGCTAGGTGGAGTTTATTTAGCAAAAACGCAAACTAGAGCTCTAGGGTTTTTTTTTCTTTTGATAATCAAAGTATTCTGTTTTCCAATGAGGTAAATGAAAATTGATACACATGAGTTTTTGATTAAGTTTTTGTGTTTGAATGTGATTTTAGTTCGTATATTCAATTAAGGTTTTCTTTTCATGTTTAATTATATAGTTTTCTTTATCTATATGGTTGATTTTAACTTTTTTTTATCTTGTATCCAATAATCATAAACACGACCCTCTTTCTAAAATAAAAAGACATGAAATATCATACACGATCAACGATAAATTTCTTCTATAAAGTAGCATTGTGTTCACACATTGCAAAACCGTGTCTCTATTCTACATTCATGTCCATCCCAATGCTAAAGAATAAGAACAAAGCAAATTGCTTGCAATATGAAGAGTGCATAACTATTGGCATCTCTTGCAAACTACACATATGAAGGAATAAAATGGGGGAAAAAGAAATGAATTAAATGCTAAATAGTCACAAACTCAACCAATCTAAATCACAAGTTCTGCCCTAAATATACCAAGAACCAAAAATACTAATTTGTTGGAACAGGGAAATCTTTGAGCTTTAGAAACACAGGTCCTAAAATTTTCTGTCTTCCTCTTGGAACAATCGCCGGAATATTTTGCTCGAAAATTTCACTCTATACTTCTATAGGATCAACATCCAGCAGCTTTTAGAAAGTTATCATATGGAGTTGAGGCTGGTAAACTGAATGAGGGGGGATGGTTATGGTACTCAGTTGCACACGGCATTGGAAGAGTGCCGAGCGGTTGTTTGAAAGGATTGGTACTGTCAATTTGCTCAAGGACCGGACTCACCTGCGTTTTAAGTTTGGTTGCGAATGTTAGATTCTTTTTCAAGCCATCTGTGTTCTTAGGGCCCCACAAAGCACGTACTTTTCTTGCGTAGAACCAAGGCATGTTCATGGTGCATATGACATGTATGAAAATCAATGCTGACATGGGAAATGGGATTTACCTGTTTTGTCATGTTATCTGGATGTTGAAAAGATAAGCTAATCAAGCTTTCTTGTCTGAGTCGAGCTCATCAAAGGAGACATATTTTGTTGCTTTCCTGTTACGAGTGCCTCGCAATGACGGGCTATTTCCTTGTAAGACAAGTCCGGTCAGGTGGAGATGGGACTTCTTCCAAACTGATATGCCGTCTCCACTACCTGCGCAGATAAAGAAAATAATTATGCTTGTTCTATCTCAACAAAATAATCGATGCCTATCATCAATTCCCCTTATCATTGTTCCGAATATATGAGTTATTCTGTTCTAGGTGTCGCTAGTGTTTCCGAACAGAGTAAAAACGAATGTCACAGCGAACATACTGATTCTAGGAGTTGATTGACATCCGCAAGTCCTGGAATTTCCACAGCAAACTCCGAACTATCCTTGGTTTGGCCTTCAAATGGTTCCAGAAAAGCATCATTATCATCATCATCGATTAACAAAACCGAAGCTCCCGCAAAAGGAATCACTTGAGTTCCAAGCATTGTGGTAGATAAAATTCAGAAGGTGATGCAAGGGATATTTACCTCAATAGATTTATTGTCTTCAGCCCCAGCTTGATATACTTTATGAGGAGTATCCATAGAAAACTGGGCAACACACATTGTCGGGCAAGAATTCATTCAGCAGCTGTTCCCCTATGGTGGACAATTCAAGCTGCCATATAGTCACCAAATATTAGCATAAGGTAATTACAATAGAAAATACTAGTTCTTTGATGATGCATCAGGGTCAAAGATTCTCGAAATTTGGGATAAAAAGCTTTACCTCCGACAAGTTTCCCAAAGTTTTCACAATTTTAGAAGCAAGAGTTTCCCTACTTTGTTCTGGAGCTATCTGAATTTCCGAGAGTCTTTAAAGCCACAGCATCATCTTCTTTAGATCTATAAACATTTGTTGGATGGTCAGGCTCAGTGTTAACTGCCTGTAACTTACAATCGTCCACCAAGCGCAAAAATGGATCATCCTATGGATAATAGAATCATGGCACATCAAAACAAGACCGAATAGTCAGTCAGATGAAACCATGGCACATCCAAAAATGGATCATCCTATGAATTGATATTTTGCATTAGAAAAGATAGAAACTTCAACCTTATTCCAGAAGGAAAAGCAGTATGGTTTCATAAATGAGAAGTTTCATACCATTATTTCTGTAAGTGCAACCTTGGCAGAATCAATGATAGGGCGAACATTAAATGCTTTTGATGAGAATAGGATCATTGAAGTTGCCAAGGTGAAAAGAGATCTATGACGTGACGGTGGCAGTGGCCCTGCAGCATTACCGGAGGTACAATTGATTTCTGATTTGATAACAAGATATAGTAAACTCCCATTTTTAATACTTGGAGGTAACCTACACAAAGATAACTAATACTTTTTTAACTAGCCACTTTGGTCTGTTAAGAAAGTAAACGATCACATCAATTGAGGATTTTATAAATGAAATTCATCAATATAGCTGAAAACATTAGAACATAAGCACTGAAGAAAATAAACAAGTTAATAGCAAAGCAATAAACTTGCAGATGTCTTATAACAAGACTAAACCAACTTACATTATCAAACTCTGCCGAAATGTGAGAATGTTCACCCATTAACCAAATCTACACGAGAAGATAGAAAATTGAACGTGCACTAGAGTAGTTATATATACAATTTGGACAGAGAAAAAAGTGAACTGCAAGGAAGAAAAGAATAATTGTGAAAGGGAAAATCATTGCCTTGGTTCTTGTGAGAAAGGTGAATTGAAGTGAACCTTGAAGGCATTCATTCTAAGTAAATAAGCAAACCTTCGAATCTAGTTCTTCTGCCTTCATTGCATGTACTGTATATAATATTAGTTTGTTCTGGCTTAATTTCCCAGAACCTATATAATTGTTGGTCGAGTTATATGATTTAAGGTGCACTTTTATCATCTATTTCCAAGAAATCCAACTAAAAGTTGATATATTCATGCATGTCAAAACAAGAGAAGCTTCTTGAATGAGAATACCGATGAAGAAAGTGCTTGCAGCCCAGCTGAACATAGATTCGTCTCCCTTTCACCTTCCCCAATTTCTTGAGCTAACTGACAAACTTTTGGAATAAAGCCTTCTAAGTTTGACATGAAAGTACTATCCTTCTGCTGAATTGGTAGATAAAATTAGTTTGAAGCCTGTTTCCATAAACCTAATAACTAATAAAAGTAAAATAATTCCGCAAGCTGGAAACCCATTTTTCATGACACTTGAAGCATACAAGTAATGCTAAAAGTACCAACCTGATTAATTACAAAGTCAAAATGAGCCTGAAATCCTAGAATTTGCTTTTCATACTGCCTTGTTTGATCCAGCAAAGTCTGTATAATGCTCTGTAAACTAGTAGCAAATAGTGTCCTATAAAAAATGGTTGATAACCAGAAATCGAGTGAGTTCAAGGAAACACTAAAAGTAGGAAGACAATTAAAATTTCTTCCGGCGCGCGTTTGATTCAGATATTGACCCTGAAATTACTATATGGTTGTTGTCGATCTTTTGGTAAAAGGTTTAACATGATTAATATGAACAGACTTTTCCTTTTAACAACTCAAACATTTGATCAAGAAACATGATCACTTGCATCTTTATCAGTACAAATAATAGAAAAACACTCAACACTCTCAAATTTCGAGACCAATCTCAATAATTCAAGGGAAGAATCCATAAAGGTATAACAAGTTTCAGTAATAAGAGTATCATACTGATAAGAGGAGGCTTTTCATTATGAATGAAGAGTATTTTCCTTGTTGAAATAGACTTACAATCACATCTAAGCACAATACTATAAAAATAAATATTAGATAAGAATTTGGAGAATTGAGGTTCCTTGTTTTATTATAAATCGCTTTGGGTAAGGAAATCGAAAACAAGAGAGAATAAAATATCCCATTATAGAACAGTCTTGATATGATTCAAAACAGTGAGATACAAAGCCATAGAGCTTGTAAATGCACACAACAATTTTCACTGATCGAAAATTCTCATTCCTCGACTCCTTGTAGCACCTTTGCTCAAGGGAATCATTGATCTGATCATAACATTTGCCAGAACTAGTTGTAAGGATACTAGCATAATTGACTAGTAATGAAACAGTAAGATTTCAAAGTAATATTAACAAATCAAAAGCATATCCGAGGCTTAGAAATATACTATACCTTTGGGATGCGTAAAGGATTTTTCGAAACATATTCACGTAGTTTTTCAATCTTGCGATCATTTGGTCCATCCTCCTATGACATAAAAACTTCAACTTATATGACTAAATAAGGTGGAAGGATATAATTTAAAGCAAAATACAAACAAATGCTAAAGCTGCAAATCTTCATACATTATAAAGACAGAATGATTAAAATGAGTGAATCACCATCTTATGACTAATGTTTAATATTTTAATCAAAATTAAATTTAAACATTTTGAAGAAAAAATTTCATGAATATTTTAATCAAAATTAAACTATTTAAACAAACAAATGACGTTAATGTAGTCACTGAATTACACCAAATTGAAGTATATAGACTAAATTTCAAATTTGAATATAATAAAAGGGTCAAGACTAAATTTGATCTATTTTGAATTTTTTATTATGTTGAAAATCAATAAAAGAAAAAAAATCTCAGAAAATTGATTTTAAATTTACCTAAAAAATTAATATTAAATGGGTAAACAATATGGATGGTCCTGACTATAAGATGTTTTTTTGTTAAGTCCTCCATCTATAAAAAAATTACAAAAAAAACCCAAGTTAAATTTACACAATTTAATACAAATAAAGCCTGCATAATTTAAGAAACAAATAAAACTTTCCTTCGAATTTAAAGGGACAAATCTATCCTTTTTCCAATTTCATCGTACCTGTTTTCCTCCTACAAAGAAATTAACTGCCAGCGCCATGCCTAAACAAGGACACTTCTTTTGTCCGATGGTGTGCGTTCAACCGTTTTACCACTAGATTGGCTGCTCTTACTGCTATTCCCTCCGGACATTCTCGGAACAGAACGCTGCATGAATCGGATTGGAATTCCGCCCATGTCAAAATCCTCCTTCAAAGATTTGGTTAGAAACCTTACATATGTATTGGAAAGCTAGGTGTTCCCACTCACGAAGGCGACGAAAGTTGGAGGCCTGGCTTTCACTCGAGTGAAGTACTTGATCTTGGTTTGAGCACCATGGTCTTTCCAAGAATGCCGGCTCGTAACCTAAACCAACAGAAACAACGACAGATTGAAATAGACAAACATATCAAATCGAGTACAAAATTATACACTTTCAGGTTTCTAAGATGAGAAAAAAGTAAAAGATATCAACCACAGACCTTGCGCAACCAACGGTTAAGACGTGCAGTGGACAACCTTAAACACCACTTCTCATATGTATCGATGACTTGAGACATGACAGCAGCACACCCTTTTCCGTCTATTGCTGAGATGAACACAACTGGTATCCCAGTTATCTGTTGCCAAGGCCATGATAACATAAAAAGATCATCTAATGGTGATAATCAAATACATAATTCATCTATAGAAGATCCGGGTGTGCAACGAAAAGCACATAACATCTCAACTTTTTCACACATTTTCCATTATTAGTTAATCTATATAAGATCCGGGTGTACGACGAAAATCACACAACATCTCAACGTTTTCACACATTCTTCTATTATTAATTACTAAAATAGGGGTATAACCATCTGAATTTCTTGAGGAACAGCTTCCATGATTTTTTTATATAACACGGAATTTCTTTTCCCCTTTAGAAGATCCATCTTGTTCACAATTACAGCCAGACCACGACCTTCTTCCACAGCTTGTCTTGCTATAACTACTTCAGCATGCGTCAAGCTACGCCAAGCTTTTGCAACCTGAAGATTGTCCCATAGAGATGTCAATGAGATTAAATTTACGCTTATTCCATAATCAAAATTTTAATCTACTATTTGCCCGGGGTAGTTCAGATTTTCTAATTTTTCATATATCTGGAGAGTCCTTGGAGATCATATCCCCCATAATCGTGTGTCAGACATGAGTACATAAGAAAAATAAAGAGTTGGAGCAACATTGACCTAAAGCTTCCAAACATGTGAAGCATCAATTATGCCCATCATATTAGAAAAGGTTGGCCTCGAACCCGATCATTTAAATATACGATACATTATATATAACGAATGAAAAACCTCTTCAGCATCAAGAACCAAAGCAACTACATGAGCTCTCATCAGATTTTTCTCGACTGCATGATACTCAATGAAGCAGGACCTTTATGCCGATCTCCTCTTTGCAACCACCAGCAGTATCAACCTGGATATAAACACATCAAAATCAAAATAAGAAATACTTGAACTAAAAAATCAGTTCATTCAAAGACTTAAACCAAACAGCTACAAATACAGTATCAGACTAGCCAAGAGAATAGCCTTGGTAAATTTCGGATTTAGATTAGTCGTTATGATAATTAAAGGGAAACTGCCTTGTGATAACTTTCACGAGGACAGTTCTTCAGAGAGCCTCCATAATTTAGATAGTAAAAGACAACGAAAATGGACAGTTTAAAGAGACTTGGCATATATTTTTTTTTATGGGAATTGAAGGCCTCGTTAAAAACCTCCTTCATGATTAAAGGAGCTTATAGAGAAGCTCCTTAATCAGCGGAAGGAGGAAAAGAGTGCCTTAAGATTTCATTAACCATAGAAAATACACGATACAACCAGGGAGCCACCCCCAATACAAACAAAACACCAAAAACAACCTCAAACAATCCTACCAGAACCAGCCTAATCCAACGAAGCAACAACAACAGCCTAAAAAACAGACTGGCCAAACTAAAAGCCCAAACGTGGCCCGATAGACGCCCAAACAAAACAAAACAACAATAATAAAAGCCAAGGGTAACAGCTTACTAAAACCAAAGAAGCCAACTTCTAAGTCAAAAGCCACCAAGCTTTCTCATGATAAGAATACAAAACAGCACGCACATAGCCGCCTTTCCACCACATTAACTCGTCTTGTCAGCTAAGACCATCCGAACTTCCAGCTCCAAACAAAAATCATGAAGCAGACCACCTGAAACTTCTACTCCTTCCCCCGCCATAGTCTTCTGAAATCAGATACACTACTGAGCCATTAGACTCCCAACCCAATTCTTTCCCAAATTGCAAGGAATCGATCGCATCCTTCTGTTGGGACTGCCCCAATGCTGGAAAGTCAGAATCATATATGAATCTGTCATCAATAACAGACACCTCTTCCTCCCACTGCACCTTACTCTGATGGCTCTTGCTTCGGTAACCCCTATACTTCCTTTTGGGAGCTGTAAAATTATCTTGACAAATTTGGTCAGATCTATATTTGTTGCCAAAACCCTCCTTAGGTCTCATGTACTGCCTTGCGTTGCCCTTTGGATTTTTGTATGCGCAGTTGTAAGAAAGGCCCTCGTGAATCCCATCCTCCACCACCCTTGACTCAACCCGACCATCCAACATGGGGAAATCATTATAATAATCCTTTGAGCCCTCAAAAACACGTGCAGACTCACTACTTTTCCTGTAGGAATCTTCTTTCTCCCCCTCCGCGTGAACCAACAGATCCACTTTATCCTTTAGGCTCACATATTCCAAATCCCTTGACACTAAGCGACCATCCAGGATGGGAAAATTAATTAAATAATCCTTACTCCCCTCACAACCACGTGCAGACAAACAATTGTCCTTAAAGACATCCACTGCTTCTCTCTCCGCGTGCACCAGCAATGTCTTGTGTTCCCCCACTTCCTCAAGTTGCGAAAGAACCATCCCCTGACCCACAACGGCCCTCCTCGGACCCATCATCAATTCCTCGCCTATGTTCCTGTCCTCCACGCCCTCACCCGACAAGAAGCTGCCTCTAGCACTATTCCCTAAACAACAGAAAAAAATTTCTTCTTTCTCAGAATACCCCTCGGCAGACTGCACCTCCGAAGAGTGCACGAATCTTCCTGCATCTTCAGCACCCACCTCCAGCTCAGGAAACTTAACTGGAGAGGCACCAACGAGCTCCCCCACCTTGGATAACGGGGATGCGAATGCCTCTTCCAGCGAAGACGACTCTACCCACTTAATAAAAATTCTGCACCATCCTACCAAGCTGTCTTTGATAGTTGAGAGCTTACTCTCATCAACAGAACCAAAAATGGGAGCCTCCGTATGACTAACATCCTCCACTACACTCTTGCCCTCGACTGGATATGGACCAGAGAACTTCTTCCTCCAGAAAACATCACGAGGATAATGTCTCGCCATGAAAATTCTAACTTTGTTACCTTGAATCCAAGATCTATCAACACAGTTGATAGCCTTCCTCGCGTCCTCCAGTCTGGTGAAACGAACAAAACCAAATCTACTTCCTCCCCTGCTTCTTTTATTAGGGATGAAAGAATCAACCACCTCGCCATATTTATTGAAAAATAACCAAAGACCTTGGAAATTTAAACTCTCTGGAATGTTGAAAATGATCACTGTGAAACAGTTTTTCCCAACAGGAACTCTCACCTTACTCGCCATCAAAGAGAAATGAAAAGGAACTCTCTGCAATGGTGAGACTTGGCATATATATATATATATGTGTATGTAAAGAGGTATGGCATATAATGTTTAAATAGACAGTTTTGATTATATCAAAGCCCAAGAATCATGTGATGAAACAAAGAGTTAAAACTAGCTAAATATTTATACCAGATAAATCGTTCTCCCTTGATACTGAAATTGTGCTCTCACTGAATCTCTAGTCAAACCAGCTTCAGGACCAACCAAAACGTGATCTTCTTGTAACAATGTATTCAGTAATGTCGACTTCCCAACATTCGGTCGGCCAACAATAGCTAATTGTAGTGGCACCTTAGATTCTTCATCAACCTTACAAGAGTCACAATTCTAGTTGAAATTTTCGTCTTGGCTACTGTTGCCTACGGCAAGTAAAAAACAAATGTGATGATAAACTCAGAAAACAGGGGAGGAAATAATGAGTGTCTTCATAAGAAGTGTACAAAACACCTGGGCTATGATCCACTTTTTCCTAGAAATCCACCATAGTTGACGAAAGAAAGTGAAAATCATGTAGCCACGGCTTAAGTTCCATTTATATTCACACCATAGTATGTTTGGATCTAAAACCTAAGCGAAGGGTGTATTTGATGAACCACTAAAAATTCTTAGACCCGTTTAAATGAAAACTTTTAATGGTTTGATGTTATCAATGTGTATG